GTCAGTCGTGCCCCAGGCGCTTGACGGCGGGATTGGGGTACTCGGGGTTCTCGATGGCTCCCGCTCCGAACTTCAACTCGAGGAAGGCGCGGGCGTTGTTGGGCGCCATGGCGGTAAAGCCGGCGAAAGCCATCGGCACCCGGGGACGGAGGAAACTTTCGGGGAATTCCACGTCTTGGGGGTGCCCCAACCACGTGTCCTTGGTCATCACCCCGCCGCGGGGGTAAAACGGCCACAGGTCCACGTGTAACCGGTTGCTCCGACTGTAGTGAACGCGGTAAAAGTCTCCCTCCGCCGCCTTCTCCCAAAGAAAACCCTCGGCGTCTTCCACCGCCTCCCCCGTCGCCGCCGCCGCCAACCACCGGCATTTACCGACGTCCTCCCGGTAAATTCCCAAATCCACGTCGTAATCCCAAGGGATGATGTCTCCGAGGCGGGCGGCACCCAGTAACGACCCCCCTTCTAACCAGTACCGTACTCCGGCGGCCTCCAGTACCCCGGTTACGTGCCGGGCGGTTTCCCGTAGCGCCCGTAGGCAGCACGGCGGGGTCCAGCGCCCGGCGAGGAGGTATTGGGGGGTACGGGCGTGAACCGTGCCGAAACACCGCGCCGTCTCCTTGCCGCAGCCGTACCAGCGTTCCCGCCCGTCCGCCAACACCTCTCGTTTGATGCCGAGATCGCGCATCAACCGGCGCCGGCGGTTTTCCGCCAGGTTTTCGGTTTTCCAACGCCCGTGAGGAGAAACGGGGGATCGCCGTGCCGCCGGGAACGCCGCCGGTATCACCCGTAACCCCCAACCCCGAAACGCCGCTTGGACGAAGAGCGCGGTGGGCACCGGTCGCGCCAAGGGGAAGGGGAGAGCGAAGAGATCGCGGGTACGAAGCAACAGCACCGCCGTCCCTTCCACCGCCCGGCAAACACCCGGCGCGCCGGGGCCGTACCGCGCCGTCCACGCCCGCGGTTCCAACCGCAGCTCCAAACACCGTAACGGCGCCGATCCCACCGGCGCCGCCACCAACCGAACGGCGCCGGGGTTTTCTTCCAAAGCGTCCCGCATCCGTTCCAGCAAACCGGGGACGGCGCGGGTGCCGTCGGGAACCAAAGCCACGTGGCGGGTGCGGACGTGGAGTTCGGGATGCGCCAACGGCGGCGGTCGGTCGGCGACGGGACGTAACGGTAACACCTCGACCCCAGCCGGTAACGGTACCGGTGGATACGGCGGGGGGGCCGGCGGCGCCCCC